GCCCTTTAATAGACTTCGTCTCATGCTATGGACTTCATGTGAAATTATCTTGCTTAATACAAATTGCCACTCTTCAACTTGACTCAGATTCTCATTCAAATTAAAAATTTGAGATAGCAATATTTCTGATGATGTGGGAAAGACCGACAATATATCAGTTGCATTAAATTGTGAAATAGCCATAAGACCCGGTTTTAGGAGTCTATAATCTTGTTGGATTTTAAACAGGACAGAGTCATCAACATGAACTTCTTGATCTGGATTTGATGTATATAAATTTTTTTGAGGAAATATAAGTGGACACAAGTATGATTCTAATATATTTTTCTTGAATTCTTTGTAAACATCAGTGTCTAAATAATATTTTGACAAGTATGTTAATTCCTTCTGATAAATAAATAAAGAACGCAAGATTCAAAATATATATACCATCTCCATACTGGTCAATTAATTTGTAAAACTGACATAATCCTGAGACTAAAAGCATATTCAAAGGATTGGCCTGCATAATAGCGTCGGCAATATAAGACATTAATACAATCCAAACTATATATGAATGAATAATACGTTGACATATATATATATACAGTAGTAATTAGGACGTTGTGTAGAAATAATTTAAGTTAAAATTACCTGCCCTAGTTTCTACTACTTTGGCCTCTATACATGCATTTAACGTTTCTATGATCAAATATAAGCTCTTCGGATGTAAAATTACAGATTGAAGTAAACTTGATATGAAGGGAAGTAATTCTTCAGCATAATCCCTTCCTTTGGATTTACAAATATCTCTGAAAAATTATTTACTTTAAAATCTTACTATATAAATAAATATCCAAAAGGATTGAAAAGTCATCACACCTAATAGTTGATAAAACTGCCAGCTCAATTTCAAACCTTTCACGCTTAGTATCATCATATGCAGATCTTTCTAATTTTCTCTTCTTTGTCCATTCTGATATTATGAATCGTAATTGTTTCCAACATCTTCTTTGTCTCAACCAGAGTTTATATAACATCCTGATACCAACTGCGTTTAAATTTGTTTCCTTATTCATTTCCTGCCTATGAACAAGACTCATGGTAACTTTCAAAACCTTTGCGGTAATAGTTGAATCTGTAGTTGAAACCAATGAAGGTAAAGCATGATGTAAAATATGAAGATGAACCGAAGTATTACTATCATTACGTAAAATATAAAGAAATAACAAAAAAATAGGAAATTTTTGTGTTTGAATTGAAAAAAAATCACTATTTATTATTGAAATTAGATGATTTAAAGCTAAAATTCTTGTGGCAACATCGTGATGAAATAAGTAAGGCACATGAAATAACGTGGAAAAGTATGATTCCGAAATTTTAAATTCATTTAAAGAATGTGAATAAAAAGAGTTTACAAGACAATTTATTTCGGATAATATTAACGATATTGTTCCAGTAACACATGGTGATTTTAGTAGAATGGAAACCTGCTACATAGTCTAGATTAGAGATATTGTTAAACAAATTTGTGGCATTATGGTTAAACATTACCTCATTAAATTCCAAAGGCACATATTGTAACGCCTGAAATTTTTGAATAATTAAGAGCATTTCCGTAGCAGTATTCCTTGATTCACTCTTTTCCAAATCAGAAATCACTTGGAACAAGGGTAAAATTGCAACACTAATTAATGCAGGTGGAACATCTCGATCATTGATGTTCTTTAATTTGAGTTCGATTAATTTTTGCATAATCTCGAGGATCATGGATTGGTCATCAATAGACTGGGCATCAAGGAGCAAAAAAGATAACGTTGGCCAGATCAAAACAAAACTTGATTTTGATAGGTAATTTAAGGAACCTTCTTGAGGCATTAATATTTTATAAAATAACGAAATATAATGATTTGTTGATAAATTCGCATGACGTGCATCACAAGCAAGTGCCAAAATCTGCACTCCAAGGGT